TTTCCCAATTTTAAAACATTCAGTGTTCCCATGCTCTGTAGTACAAATGTTTTCAACTCTTAAATCACAAAAAACCTATTGCTGCTGAGCCAATTCCCACTCATCACGAAATTATAGAATAAAGTAGAAATACTCTACAGCGTTTCCAAGGCTGCAATCATTACAGTCCTGGTGCTATTGGATAAGCACTGGACTGCTACCCACAAAGTTTATGGTTCAAACCACCAGGTGCGCCTCAAAAACCCTACAGAGTCAACTGGACGTGACAGAACTTAACAACAATCATTAGAGAGGCAAGCTGCCACTTCTTTCTCTTGTGGAGGGGCGGGCTGAAACTGCTAACTTCTTGGTAAGCAGCTGAGTGTGCTTAACTACCTGGCCATCCTTCATAAAATATGAGACACATATTTAATTCTTCCTTAATTTCTAGTACTCTCATTATAGGATCATCACTAGACTGTGAACCACAAGGTTAGCAGTTCAAACCCACCACTTGTTCCTCAGAAACTCTACACAGGGTCGCTATGAGTCAGAACCAACACGATGGCGCTTCACAGCAACAAGACTACTAGATACTAGTAGTAGTATGCTAAAGGTTGCCGAGTCAGTTCCTACTCATATGATTCTACATTAAGGTTTACGAGGCTTTAAATCTTTTCAGAAGCAGAAAGCCTTATCTTTCTCCCATGGTGCGGCTGGCAGGTTCGAATCATGTGGTTTGCAGTCCAGTGCTCATCCTATATGGAATCACCAAGCGTTCATGATAATTGATAATCTTTCTTTTTGATCGACACCAGTATTAGTGGTAAGGCTCTCGTCTACTACTGGTATCTCTGTAAAACACACTAAACATGTTTCTCCTCTGAGTCAGGATTTACTACAGGATAAAGTCCATTTCCTTAAAATGGGATGCAAGCTCTTCTCAATCTAGTTCTAAAGTGCTCTTACAAATGAACCTTTAGTCAATCAGTCCTACATGCCCTTTTCTGTACACACTTACATGCCTCCCTCAAAACACCTTTTCAAG